TCCCCTCTTATCCTAACATATTTTTTTTGTGCTTGTTGCAATCTTAACATGTTTCACCAATTATTCCATTAGCAGAATGCTCTGGTGATTCCTGGAAGAGGGGTGGTGGGCAATTTTTACATTGTGATCCCTGGACAATTATTTAGAGTGGCTTGGCTTGGTGCATGGGGAAACTGTTCTTTCAAGTTGTACTTCTCCTGTCCCCATCATGTCTGCAAGCTGATAAGGTTTTAAAAGTGAACCAGGCTTTGAAAGTGAGATCAGCCTACCAGGAGGTTGGATGAAGAGACAGTCCTGCTTCCCAGCACAGCCATTTAATTCCATTAGATGTTATGTGGATTCCTTTAATAATAAGGCTATATATTTTTTCAAATGAAGGCTAAATTTGGGTTTAAAAACAGCCAGCTGATACGCCTTGGCTTGCATGGTGCAGCAGGAACAAGAATCTGGCAAAATTCCCTCTCATCGATTGTCAGGGTGCACTGCATGATGTTGGCAGAAGATCTCTTCCACCCAAGTCACAAGTTCCTTCTAACCCTATCAAATATGCAGTGTAGATTTGAAATGCTAAAACCAGAAGTTGTAATATAGCTTGGGATAACAAATTCCAGAATTCCTGGTTAGGAGTTCTGGGAGATATCAAACAAAGCTAAAATGTGAATGGCTCAGTATGTAAGAACCCAGCTGGAATAGTTGACTTATAGTTTATTTGTGCAAATGCAGCCATTTGGGTTAATTCCATTAGCTATAGGCCAGTTAACCCCAATTAATGAGTTACACAAGCACATCTAACTGCAATTTTATGCAATTGGAATTCACTTACCACTGATCACATTATGAATAGCTTCTGTATATATATCCAAGTGGTATGATATAGATTGTAACCCTAACTTTGAGTAAATTCCCAAGACATTAAACCACCAAGCAGCCCATCGTATTTTACAGTAGTGTGTTGAGTGAACATTACATAACCACATAGTCTATGGTTCAACGAATCTAGTATATTAAAAGAAACTGGTTTAAATAATCAAAGACAACCTGCAAACCTAACTCCGTATTTGCGTGTGGTTTTACTATAAGACTGCGGTAGTCTACACTGAATACAATCGGAATTACTTCCAAGCTCAATCCTGCGCCCTTCTCAGAAATAAAGCTCCTTATTTTCAGTGCATCTTACTCTCAGGTAAGCGTGCCTAGGAGATACAATACCAAGCTAAGAAACCGAAATGGAGCTAACTAGAAAGCAACCAGGCTAGTTTCAGGTTCGCTGAACAAGTGCAAGAATCTCGAAGGCTAATTGGGCACGTGGCTGTAGCCGGGCGGGGCCCGTTTATTAGTTCAGCGCAGGTCGGCTGGCTGGCTGGCCGAACGGTAGGATAGTTTTCTTCCTTGGCGGGTTCTTAAAGTTGAGCCATGTTGCGAAAACTCACCGTAGATCAGATCAACGATTGGTTCACAATTGGCAAAGCGGTCAGTGGGGTGGAATTCCTGGGGGGCGAACTCCCGGCTGCTGGCTTTGCTCATCACCTCGAGGAATCTGTGAAAGAGACGGCGCCTGCTGCTAACGTGTAAGTAGGCCGGGACCTACAGCAAAACTAGTTCTCCATCGAGCGCACGGGTCATAGTATATGCTGCTTAGAAAAGTCCAAAACTGCCCAGGTTCTTTGCTGTTGAATGGTATAAATAATAAAGCCCCCATCCATCAGTAGGATGGATTTCACCACTGCTCAAGTTCTACCAACAGTATTAAGTACGATTTGTTTTTAGAAATAGAATATTCTCCCCCTTCCCGCCCGTAATAGTCTGATCGTGGCCAGCCTCAAATTGCGAATGTTTGTCTAATATACATTAAGTTTGAAGATGCTGCAACGCGTTTGTTTCTGAATTACAACTAGCTTCTGTAAACAGCACTACGGAACTAAAAAAATAAGCTCTGTGCTACCCGAAAAATGGTGTGTGTATAAAAAAAAAGTATACATATGTCTATAAACAGTCAACCAATCTATATAAATAGTCAGAACGTCAAATAATATAGTGCTGTTTTCTTGTTTAAAGGAGAGAGAAATAAGAGTGGGAATTGCTTCTTTCTGAATTGGGCTCAACTTGGCCTGATTTATATAAACTTCAAGCAGCAAATTTGTCTCTTTGGTTTTGGTTTTAGACATTTTTAAAGTTTATCACTCTCAGCTTGCCAGAACTTCAGTTTTACCAAATACATTGTGTTCACAGATAGTATAGTGATAAGCCATAACTTTCTTATGATTTATTTAATAAAATGCAATTGGTTATGTACACACAGCACACCAGACTAAATCCAAGCCACAGTAGGGTTTATAGTACAGTAATGTGCGTATTCAGCCATTATGAGCACCATATACAGCATACTAGTAATTCTTAGAGAATTCTTGCACCCATGTCTGTTCATAGAAATAAATTGTCTATTGTGAGAATAAACCCTGGGCTACATAGGTCTTGGATTTGATCTATCCATCTCAACAACCATTTTCATTGACCTCTTGCTCTGTTAAATGTAAAATTACTGTACAGTGTGGCTACAGTTCTCACAGTTCATTTGAGCCTATAACTCTGTTTATAGAATTTTAAATTCTAAGAGTACTCATGGTTGTAATCTCATGTCTCTTTATAGAGAGAGTTGAAAATAAATTGAATAGCTATATTATCCTGAGGTAATGTTATCCTGTTTAAATGATCACAGTGTTGTTGTGGTAGCATAATAAGTATTTTAACTGAAAATAAAGCAAATGAGAACTCTTTATGGAGAAACAAACAGTGAGAAAAATATTTCAACCTTATATAAATTAACATTGTGCTTTTTTCATGCTGTCTGTTTCTAATTTGAGTCCTGAAGAATAATACATTTGTCAACATGTTTACAAAGAAGAACATCATAGATCAAATGAGATTTATTCACAGTAAGAGTATACTAACCAGCTTTTAAATAATATTTTTATTTGTTGCTTTAACTTTACAGTTTTATAAGTGAAACAAAAAATGCTAATGAGAAAGAAACACCTTGTAGCCCTCTTTTTCTACTACTTCCTAATGTTCACAATTGTTTAATTGCTTTGAGTGTAGAGCCTAACTAGAGGTTTCCAAATCAACGCTGTTGAGTAAATTCATACAACATATATTAACCAACCATATTTTTTAGTTCAGCATGTTGTACATACTGAGCCATTGACTTCACATTTTTAAGTTATGACTATTCTTTGAAATTAACCCTGTGGAGCCTGACTAGTTCTGTATCTGCAGACATGACACACAGAATCATTCATTTAGTTAGATTTTTAACCCTCATCCAAATCTCAATCTCTCTCTCTCTCTCTCTCTCTCTCTCTCTCTCTCTCTCTCTCTCTCTCTCTCTCTCTCTCTCTCTCTCTCTCTCTCACACACACACACACACACACAAACATTCATGGTTTTTCAAAACATATATGTCATTTGGTAAAAAAAAATACTATTTTAGCAATTTAAAACATCTCAGTTCTCTGCAAATCTAGATTTCATCTTTCATAAAAAAAATTACAGCATAAAATCTAAATTGATGTATTGCTTCTGTGTATTTATCTTTTCTGGTGGATCTGAAGCAAAGGAAAAAAAGTTCTTTTTTGGTAGTAAAGGATTGTAAGCTATAATATCTTAACTACTGTATCTGCTTTTCTATCAAACTATTGCAGAAAGGAATTTTGGCTTATATAGCCACTTTTTTTAGAACCTGTGAATGAATACCATCTCAAATCATTCTATATAGGGATAAAGTTTTTACTAAATTTCTGCAGGGTATAAATAAAACTATCATGCAGGTTTTGCAGAGATTTGTCTTCCCCTTCTCTTTCAGGTTTTAATTTTGTGCCAATGCAAATAATACTCCAGCATTAGTCTGGCTTCTATTTGCATCCTCCACAGCAGTATTTCTCATCCATGTGGGAAGTTTAAGATGTAAGGACTTCAACTCCCACAATTGGCTGGCTGGAGAATTCTGGGAGTTGAAATCAACACATCTTACAGCTGCTGAGATTGAAAAACATTGCTCCACAGTATCCCAGATGTAGTCTCATGCCAGGGAATTGTGGAGAAATATATATTTGTCTTAAATCAGTGATTAAAACTTAAAATGTGTACACATTTTTTCCAAAGGTGTGTCAATATAAAAAAATGTCCTTTGGGTGCTAGTGTATCTTTGGCATCTTTTACTAGTGTTTTTTTTTAAAGGCAAAAGATGGTGCTATTGTTGTGACCTGCTTTAGGCCTCTGTAAAGCTTACCTGTTTCCAGTCTATTAAAAACAGGATCTTTTACAAAATGGATTATTTTCTTCCTTTTAAGTTTTCAGATTTGAGTTCAATATCTTTGTTTTGAAAATATTGCATTGTAAGCAAATTGCAAGATAAAAATCTGTCAATGTCTTTCACTGTGACTATTTTTCAGAACATTGCTAAGTCTTTAATTTGTTCTTGCATATTTAGAGGGGCAAAATAAATGGCATTAAAGACATCCAACATAGTCAGTCAAGATGGTGGACTCAGAGTGACAATATCCAGCTTCTAGTCCTTCCTTAGTCCCAGAAGTCAACTGGGTGACCTTGGACTAATCATTCTCTCTCAGTCCACATCAGCATCATGCTGTAAGATAAGACAGCTGATAAACAAAAACCCTCATGGCATCATGCATTGTTAAGCTTTGCTCTAATAATTAGGTGAATACACTGAAAACAAGGGGATCCTGCAGTCATGCAGGATTAATGCTAAGAAAAACGATAAAACCTCCACAAAAAAAGTCTGCTATAAGAAGGATATTAATGTGACACTATTAATTAGTATAAAAGCATCCATCCGATTTATTTAGGGACTATGCCAGCTGTAGTTAATAAGTTTAAATTTGCATTTATGAGGATAGTGGGATGGGAAGATAATTTTGGAGTACTGAATCATTACAGAATGATTACAGCCAAGCTGAATGAATATTAGCATAGAAAAATAATTAACTTGATGGGTAGTAATAGGGAAGATTCCAGATTCTGTGGGAGAATGTTGGAAGGATGCCTTGTGTATTTTTGTCAACATAGCTGGATACAGTTGGGATTTCCTCTTTGTCCATTTTCCTGGAGTTGGTGTTGGATGCTGCGAATTGGCTGGAGCAATTGGTGTTCCAAGCATCAGTCAGTTGATCTTGTTGAGCTTCTTTTTCAAGATTAGTAAGGAACTCTTTTAAAACTTGTTTGAATAAATAAACAATTTCCCAGGGTAAAACATCATTTTCTGCTAGAACCTCTCGAAATCTAGAAAAGGAAAGAGAAGAAAGAAAAGGCAAATAGCTTGAAATTTATTAGCATGTATTCACCTTGTCTTAAAAAATGTAGGACAGAGAAGATATAATATCCTTTTTAGCAACGCTTTCTAAAGAAAACAACAACAAGGAATAGGAAAGAATGATGTTTGCAATACAATCAGCTGAAGCATTTTTTTTTCTGTGTTAAGTTGTCCAAGCAAGTTGATTCAGACTGACATTTCCCTGGAGCCCTTTTCTAGGATCAGAGAGAAAGCAGTGAATAGTTCAGGGTTTTGTTTTAAATTCCATATGATTGATATATTTATATATATTATATATATTATATATATTATACACACACACACACACATACATACACACACACACATATCTCACACATTGTGTGTGTATGTGTGTGTATGTAGGAGAATTGTAGAGAAACTTGTTTTGTGATCAAAACAATCTTATTCTCATCAAAATTGCATGAAACAAATGTGAATCAGTTTATAATGAAAATCACACCATGCAGATTTTAAAACTGGGCACAGGATAAAAAGTTAGTCTATGAATATGAAGGCAAATGTTTAGCAAAAGAAACAGACAAATTAATGCTCTAAATATTAGAGCTGTGAATATGTAGTAAGCATTTAAGTGGTGTGTACTGAATTGTTACATTTAATCGTTTTGCCAAACTCAAAATTATTATTTTTCTATTTTGTGGGGAAATCTTGGAAATTCCTTCATTGCATGCTATTTAATTGAACAAATGAAATCCTAGCAATGCTTTTTGAGATGCCAGAACCAATACAGAGAATCTTATGAATAAGATTGTATACGTATATAGCCAGAAAGTAAGTTTCTTTGAACTCATTTCAAAGAATTATTCTTTTAGTTTGAAGCATACTAGTTTTGAATTAATTTGAAACCGTTTTCTTGTAGGAACAACATTTAATATGAAGCTGCAAAGATGGGGTCCCTTTTCCTCTTTTCTGAAGCTTATGTGATAACTATATAGATAAAATAGATTTTACCTGCTGAGTATGATTCCAGTTTGACATGGTTGGATTTGAGAGCAAAGAATTTCAAGTTGCCGTTGTTCAGTAGCTGGGATAGTTATTTGAAAATTTTCGTAGTTCCTTATTCCATTGTAATCACTTTCAGGATTTTGAATTTTGTGTCCACTTTCAATCTCCTGTATCAGCTGCTCACGTTCTTTCAAATGCCATTTTAGTTCTCTCAGAAGTGTCTTTGTCACAACTTCTGAGCCAGGGTATTGTCCACTTTTGTAAGAATAACTTTTTGGCCATTTCATCCAGCCAAAGAATGGCATTTTGACAACTATTTAAAAAATAGAAACAAAAGGAGACATGCACATACCAATGCCAAAAGGTGAGTTGGAAAATTGGTTCTCGGGAATTTCTCACTTCAGTTTGATAGTCAAATATTGTAATGTTACCCATTTTTCACATAGCTGGACAGTTTTAAATTGCAAATATATTTATCCATGTTTAAATGGACTCAGTAGAGCTTATTTCTAAATACCCGTGTACATGGGATTGTGCTGTCAGTAATAGTGCAATCAAAATGTAATTGTATCCCTCCCAGAAACCAGTTTGATATTTAAAATATTCTACTTTAGCTTTATTTTATTTTGTTCTGTCGTGAGTATATTTAATCTTTGTAGCACCTTTTGAAGGAACTGGCTAAGTCCATCTCAATTCAATATTTTCTGTTTTCAAAAACAAAGACAATTTAAGCTATAGTATTCTGTATGTGTCCAAATATAATTTGTTCTGAACTCCATTCTAAATGTAAACAAAACAAAAAAACCATTCAAAATCTTCTAGATAATATCTATAAAAAATAACATCTGCTATGAGAAATCTCTAGATTTTAGAGAAAAAGATTAGTTTATATATATTTGCAGACTGACAAATATATGCAATTAAAATGTGTTAATTTTTATGGAATCCCAAAATTCATGGATATTTTGAGTAACTCTTAAGAGATTTATATTTTTATTTTAGTCCATCAAATTTTTTTAATTAAAATTATTCTTATACTTACTGTACTTGTAGAAAAGAATCTTATTTCACCAGCAAGATTATAGATGAGTTCTGCTTGATGTGGTGATTGTTTATTCCAGTATGTTCTGTCTCAGACAAGTATTCCTCATTTTACTCATTTAAGAAAAATGTATTATCCCAGCTTTTAAAATAACTTAATTCCTTCTATCAGCAGAGAATCAGAACCCTCTGACACGAATTCCTCTGAAATTCTTTCCACAAAGCCCATTCAGAGTTTCTGCCTTTCCATACAGACTTTGTCCTGAGCCAGTGAGAACAGTTTCAAAAGCTTTCTATGGATGCTAAATGTATTGTCTATAGTCATATTGAATAATCATAGTCTGAAACCAAGCCAGATGTGCTCCCAGCTAAAGTAAAACTGTCGGTTGGATGATGTGATGCTTGGATGTGCATAGCTGTAGGTCACAGTTCATTGCTGTATTTTTATGCCCTGTTGTGCTCTAAAAATAACCCAGTTGCTTTTTGTCATTGGACTAAACTTTGAAACAATTTTGGCTGAATTTGTACTTTGGGTGTTTGTATTAGTTTACAGTGACAAGATAAATTATTGCGCTGCTCAGTTTACCTAATCATTGTTATACCAATACATGCATATACACATCTGGCATATACACTACAATTAACACGACTTGTGTAAGCTCATCTCAAGTAAATTTATGTCAGTCTAAGACTACACTAATCAGTGTACAGAGAGATTCTTAGTGTATACTGTCTATGGCTAAATTAATCCCTCTGCTAAAGTAAATAAGTGAAATTCTTATTTATAGTCCACAGCTGTTATCAAGTTTGTGAATTCTTTTTGCTAACCTAACGTATTTAAAGAAGCAACTTGTTCCTCTAGCATTTGAGAAAAATGATGTGAAAGTTATGCTTTTTTAAAAAAATAATATCTTAATGTCAGTGTCATTGAACTTAGAAGTTGCCTTACATTATGTAACCACAATTCTTTCTTCATCTAGATCAGTATTGCACATTCTACAACAGGATTCGTACATTGCACTAAATTATGCTTCATTGAATGAAATATAGTCTGTTGGGTTTACATAACATACAGCCATAAAGCAACCACTTCCCACAGTTCCTCTATGAGGGAGATGGGCAGTTCCACAATGTGATTGGTTGGTTGGTAGGTAGGTAGATAGATAGATGGTATATGAGACTTTGTGTATTGTTATTTCTTTCTTTTCAGACAGCAAATATAGTAATATCTGCTAATTTATCCTTTGCATCAGAATCTGGGACATCGGGGTCCTGTTAATGCAAAATGGTTGTTTCAACATGCAGTTGAAATCCTGGCAAGTAATTTAGATTTTAGCTCTGTTGAGAAAATAAATGTTCATATCTGATCCTAGATTTTCCTTCCATACTTGTACATACTTTCTTGCTTAATTTGCCTGTGCTTTGTTAAGGTTGGAGAGGAGGTTGAATAGGTGATTTCCAATTTAATATTTTATCTTTTCTTAGCACACACAAAAATCTCAGCTATTTTCCCATTTCCTTTAGTAGATTTCTTGCTATAAATATCAAGAACAAATACGGAACACATCTTAATACTTTTCATTGGCAGTAGTCTCTTTTTATAAGAATTGGTCTCACCTGGTTAATCCCCTTTTCAAAAGTGTTGAATTGAACTGTTGTTGAAAAATATTCCTGAAAATCTGGTCTAGATGTCATGCTGTATAAAGGGTGACATCTGTGGTTGTTATTAAAACTGATATTGCTTATATGTTGGAAAAATTCAAATGCCAGTACTAATCATCCTCAGTTGGAAGGTTTTCACATTGCATTGTGTGTGGTGCTATAAAAAGTGGAGAAAGGAGTTGGATGTAGAATGACAGAATGCCTTTGCAAATTTTCAGACAAAATTAAAATGTTTGTTGCCATCTCTTTGCTGGCATAGTTGCCAGGTCAATAACAACTCTTTTGTTATTGTGAAAGCTAAATAGTGGTGATAAGTTGCATTAGAAAAAAGAACGTACTTTGTATAATGTGAGCTGTTTTGCAGAATAATCAAGAAACTAATATTGTGTAGGATTAAGGATTCAGAAAACAACCTGTTGCTTGATTACTTAAATAGTATGGACAGAAAATGATATATATTTTAGAGTTCAGTATTCAATCCTCACAGCCCATGTAAATAGAATCATGGAGTTGTGTGTCTGGAAATAAAGTAAACAATTACTTCATAAGATTTCATGTGTTTTCATAAGTATACCTTTTCATGGGAATTTTTTTAAAAAAAAATCTTCCTCAAATCTGTAGGCAGAACAGTTTTAACAGGCTATTACTAAACACATAAAAATGGCCAATTTTACTTATCGTACTGAGCCAGTGTTCTCCAAATTAATCAGGAGTTCTACATTAGTTCAAAGGACACAGTTGGTTTATATATTGATAGAAAAATCTGTAGCAAATGAGAAATGAAGAAAATAAAATATATACAGCTGTCATTTATATTTGTTTTTTAAAAAAATGCTATGAAGCAGCTGCATTTTCACCACTGCATTAAACAGATTACCAATATTGTTGCTTATTTTGAATGACAATATAGACTCATTGTACCTAATTACCTTGAAAGGATAAATATATAGGTAGTCCTCAAATTACATCTATTTGTTTGGTGACTATTCAGAGTTAATAACACTGAATGATGGGGATGTATGACTGGTCCTCATAGATTCAGCTGTTGCAACACCCTGCAGTCAAGTGGGCAAGGTCTAGGTGCTTGGCATCCGGCTTGTGATTATGATGTCAAGCAGGTACATTATTGTGAATTCTGATGTTCCCTGCCAGTTTCTAACAAACAAAGTCAATGGGGAAGTTGTCAGGAAATTGGAAGTTACAGACATGCAAGATTCCCCCTTAATGACCGTATGTCCCTCTTTAACAATGGCAAGTGGCACTGCTATTGCTAAGTAATGCAATCAAAGGACATCACATTTTACAACTACATTGTTTAACAATGGCAATTCTAATCCCAGTTGCTGTCATAAGATAAGGACTAAAGGGGAAGTAATGGCAGAATCTGGGGGTGGAGTTAAAAGAAGGATCAGCCTAGACTCTCCATGTAACCAGAAGCAAGTTAAGGCCACCCCCCCCTTGAATTCTGTTGACTCTTATCTAACTCCTAGCAGATGCTAAACATTGGTTGAAAATATTCCTGTTCATAGGCATGAGTAACAATAAATCAGTTTAATTAGACCTCTAGGTGTTGACATCAGATCCTGAAGTTGAAACTCAAGTACTTTGGCCACCTACTGAGAAGGAAGGACTCACTGGAGAAGAGCCTAATGCTGGGAAAGATTGAGGGCAATAGAAGAAGGGACGACAGAGAATGAGATGGCTGGATGGAGTCACTGAAGCAGTAGGCGTGAGCTTAAATGGACTCCAGAAGATGGTAGAGGACAGGAAGGCCTGGAGGAATGTTGTCCATGGGGTCGTGATGGGTCGGACACGACTTCGCAACTAACAACAACAACAACAACAAGGTGTTGACATGATCTTCATGCCTGAGAAGAACTACCTATAAACGTTTCTCCATTTTCTGTAAATGGATAAGTCACATAAAAGGAAACTGGGATAATAAATCAGTAAATATCACCGTGCTGTATTTTAGAATAGGGAAATGATCAGTTGGTGTTTTAAAATACAATAGGGAGAACAACTTGATGTTAAGACTTTCGTTGCAGTGATCATTAAATGAATGCAGCAGCCATAGCGAATGCCACTATCGTTAAGTAAATGCCACGATTTTTAAGTGAACCCATTGTTCTTCAAACAGAAGGCACGAATCCACAAAGAACCCCAAATTGCATATCAGTTCTGTTTGGAGCAAAAAACGAGAAGTTTCCAGAAGTGGGAGGGTAAGTGAGTGGGATGAGCTAAAACGAGTCATTCGTTGAAATTGAATTGAAGCCTCTTCTTCCCCACCAAAACCTCAACAGCCCCCAGACACCAAAATAGAACCTATCCTTACAGCAGGCAGTGTATGATTGAACATTAGGTTTTTCAGTGGTTTATTGTATTTTGAAATAGATATTCAATAGAAGGACAAATGCCTAAAATAGCCCTTGTCTTGGTGTTCTCCATATTTGTTGGCTAAGAAATCTGGGAGTTACATTCACCAGTTTGGAGAAGAATTAAATTTTCACTTGTCACTGGATTGGGTTGTTGCTGAAGTGTGGAACAACTGACATTAATGACATAGCTTTTCATTTGTATCTGTTATGGTATTTGGTATTTC